CCGAAAGGCTTTTGACATAAGACCACTTGCATTGGCTTCCTTATCTAATTAGATTGCTATCCATATGTGGATCGTAGAAAATGGAGTCTGGACATGCTCGTATGACCAGTTTTATGACAGACTGGTCCTGAAACCCGAGATGGGCTCGAACTTGATTTGGGCCTCCACCTTGGTGACTCGAACCGGATGAGCTTCGGGCCTCCTTCTCGGTTAGGACAGTCTCACAGATCTCCTCGTCCTCTATCTCCAAGCATGGTCGTATGCATGTAGCTCATGTTCTTATCATAAGGCCATCGGCGAGGAGGACTAGGCCATTAGAGAGCCGCATGAACAATGCCTTCTTGGACGGCAGCTATGGAGAGAGCTCCCCTTCGGCATATTCAGCTATGGAGAGAGCTCCCCTTCAACAAGAAGCACAACAACCCCGTCGAGAAGGCCTTCCAGTTCAACATATTCAGGGACATGGCGATGCGCGTGCACAACTCACTACCAAAAACTGAGTGTTTGCCGAGTGCAAGAATATTTGTCGAGTGCATTCTATCGGGCACTCGGCAAAGAAGCTCTTTGTCGAGTGCTGTAAAAAACACTCGGCAAAATAATTGCACTAGGCAAAAAAGGAAAAAAACACTCGGCAAAGTTTGGCACTCGGCAAACCAGAAAAAAAACACTCGGCAAAGAACCACCACGTGGATATTCGTCAATCCGTGTGCCGTCCGTTAGTACGTTTGCTGAGTGTCCATTAGTGAAAACACTCGGCAAACAAATACACTCGGCAAAAGAACCAAAAACACTCAACAAAGGCAGGCACTCGGCAAAGAAATATGTTTGCCGAGTATAATTATTTGGCACTCGGCAAAGAAATATGTTTGCCAAGTGTAATTATTTGGCACTCGGCAAATAATTTCATTTTTTTTCTCTTCTAATCTTGAAACTTTTTCTACTCTCCACATACAACATGTGGTACTCCATGTTAAAATTTGGTATACTTCTGCATCTGTTTGCTATATTTAATTAATTAATTGCATTTCTAGGAATTTTGTGGTATGTCAAATTTAAACTGCAAGTGATTTAAATAATAGAATAAAATGAGTAGAAAAATGATATTCATGTTATTGAGTCTAGTGTGAGGCCTTACCTGGGAAATAAAAAGAAATTTCGAACATCTTATTAAGGAAACACGACCACGAACATGTGGCCGAATGGTTTTTAAATTCTAAAAAAAGCAAACGAAGTCTGAAAATCATGAGATTTGTCATGGTGTGATGATATCTTACGTGGAGGCTATGGTACAAATTGAGAAGGTTTCGCACAATTTCTCACGTACGATGCTTACAAACCGAAGCATCTCCAAAGAAGAATCATAGCGTTGAGAAGGATTCGGTAAGATTTGAAGTCAAAGTCACGGTCGAATTGGGTTTGACTTCAAAACTTTTTATATAGGCAATAGAGAACATAGATTGTTTCATGTGAAAGTTTGGTAAATTTTTGGATCCGTTTGATAATTTTTAATTATAGAATTTTAATTGATATAAATTAAATTTGAGTTGTAACTGCATAAAATAATGGAATCATATTCGTAGAAATATCATATATATATATATATATTGTTGAGTCATTTGACAAAGTATTTTCAAAGTACATCGAACAAAAAAAGGAAAAACACATTATGGAAAACAAGGAAATAAAAAAATAACCAATATATTTGCCGAGTGCCCCAAATCCTAGACACTCGGCAAAGATAACTAATATATTTGCCCATCCCGCACCGTGACAACCCCTTGGAAATGAAAAAATAACTAATATATTTGTCGAGTGCCCCAAACCCTAGACACTCGGCAAAGATAAGTTTGTCAAGTGTCGTGATCTGACATTCGGCAAAGCCATCTTTGCCGAGTGTCTTAGATTCGACACTCGGCAAACTCAACACATTATAAACTTAAAGAAACATGTTCCACCATGTCAACGATACGTGTTGCCAAAATCGAGCTCTCCCATTGGCCCGAACCTCCTCTCCCAGGATCTCTCCCCTCTTATCCCTTCCCTCTCCCTCTCTCCATATCCATACCTCTCACCTCATCTTCCAAGGGCCAAGGGGCAGGAGGGCGGCAACGAGCGTGGGACACCGGCCGGCGGTAAGCGGCGCGACACGGCGGCAGGAGGCGGCCAAGGCTGGGTGCGCGGGGGCGGGTGGGCGGGGTGGCGCGGGCGGCCGGGGCTGAGGCCGTAGCGGCGCGAGCAGGGCGGCAGCGGGCATGGGACACCGGCCGGCGGTGGGTGGAGAGGCACGGCGGCAGGAGACGGCCACGGCCTGGCACGTGGGGCGGTCGGGCGGGGCAGCGCGGGCGGCCGGGGCCGAGGCCGTGGCGACGCGGGTGGCAGGAGCAGCGGCCGCTACGGGCGCGCGCCGGCAGCTGGATCGGGGAGCGGTGGGAACAGCAGCGGGAACACTAGGACACGGCGGCGCCGGTGCGTTCTGTGGCCGTCGTCGCGGCCGCCGGCGCGCGCTTGTTGGACGCCAAGCGGCCACCGGTGCGGACCACGCCGGTCGGGGACGGGCATGGCGCGAGGCTTTTTTTATTTTCGCAAAAACCATTGTTTGCCGAGTGTTTTTTTCCGTCGACACTCGGCAAACAAGACATGTTTGCCGAGTGCCTATGCCATTAGACACTCGGCAAACGTGCCATGAACGTCTCTCGCCATCATGTTGTTTTTTTTGCTGAGTGTCGGTTTTAGCACTCGGCAAAGTCGTTGCCGAGTGCCCAATAAAAAATACTCGGCAAAGAAACGTTTGTCGACTCTGTGTACGCCGAGTGCTGTTTGTCGAGTGTAACACACGGTAAAATCTTTGCCAAGTGTTTTTTAGGCTTTACCGTGTGCCGTGGACACACGGCAAACTTTCAGATTCCGGTAGTGGCTGGAACACTGACCTGCCTGAAGACCCTGAGGAATCCGCCATCTTCCTCGAGAGGAAAAGGAAGGCGGCTGAGTCCCTCGAGGAGGAGGAGGAGGAGCTGATCGATGATTATTACCAGGACATGTTTCTAGGTGTCGGGGCCGATGGGGGAGACCCGCTGAGCAGCTTATTCTGGGGGTATTTGGACAGCGAGACCGCAGAGACAAGATCCATCTTTTTCAGAAACAATCCCTGACCCGGCCCTAAAGGAGATGAATTAATGAACTCCCATTGATCATGCTTTATTTGCTGTTCCATGCGTACTACTTCAGGATCATGGAAGTTCATTATGCGTACTCGTCATTAAATAGGATAATTATGCTTCTGTGATATACTTTTACCTATATGTCGTCGGTCATTATATGTTCTGTACGAACTCATAGTCCGATTTAGCACACGTGTATGGTCTAATAATGAATTAATGATTTTTTTGGGGGTTGGCTAAAGTTTAGGCATCACTTAAGAGTTTACACCACATGTTTGGAGCCCCAGGAATTTAGACAGTGGTATCAAAACATGGCCTAAGTTGTGCTTAGATAAAGGGATATTAAAGTGGAGTGATTCTAGCCTTTAATAGTCTTATTGTTATTTTTATATCGTCCCTCTGCCTTGGATTTGGCCTTTACACTTGATCTCTTGCAGCTCTTTGGGTTGCCTCTGGCTTCAAAACCAACATGTTTCAACATGCAAAAAACAAACAGTATTATATCGTCTGATGTCTTTTTTTGTAATGTATTTCATCTAACTGAGGGTCATCGCCTCCCATTCCTTTGTGGTTCTATCACCCGTTAGCTTAATTAGATTAGATTAGTTTTCTTTCCTTTTGCGGTGAATGAAAGTTGGTGCCTAGTTTATATCTACAAATGGGAATTTTGCACATGCAAATACTTTGCTTATTAGATATATGGTATATTTAACGTGAAGTGCATATACTTTTCTAAAAAATGGGCTTCAAGCTATTATGATCAATGAGATTGGCCTGCAAGTAATTAGCTCAAAATTGCATCATCTATAAAATGGATATGACCTATATCGGGTTCAAAAATGGGCTAGGGCTAAAATATCAACTGGCCCCCGGAATGGGCTTGCCCAAGCTTAAAATTATTAGGCCTCAAAATAGGCCAAGCCCACATTATTTGGGCTCAGTAATCAACTTATTAGGACCATCATGCACCAGAGTTCAGAATTTCGGCCGATTTTCACCGAAATTCGCCGAAATTCGTTTCTATCCATACCAGCCTTTTAATTTTGGCCCAGTTTGAATTTGGAGTAACTTCTGCAAACTGATGTTTGACAGCTGCCGTTTCTACCGCTGGGGTCTGATAAATTTTCATTGAACGGCAGCCTGAACTATGTCATGCATGCACACGGACTAAGGCCACGTACAACGCAAGGCTCTTGTCTGCAGTTTCCTGACCGTTTGCCACGGTGGAGGGCAGCACATGCAAGCCGGGACGCTTGCATGGGACCTGAGACGCTCCGGCAAGCGTTCGACGCTTGGCTTGGCTTGAAGCGCCCAGGCGCTTGAAAATGTATAAAAATATTCATGGAATATATGATTTGCATTGTAGCTTTGACGCTTAAAGAGGCTCTTAGTTATTTAAGCATCGTTTGAATAAAACTACCATTGCAAGCTAAGGCTCTTACATAGATATGATGCTTATTTATTCTTTCACCTTAAGCTTCTGTTTAAGCGCCCTTGCATTGTAGTACATAGCTTATGACAAGAAAATTCATTGCAACTCCCTGCCACGTCATCGTCCACATATCAGCGCCCAACGAAATAAGTTATGATGTTTTCCATAATAACGATTTGGAGAGTCAAAGTTGTTTCGTCACGAAAATGTGCTCGCGTAGTGTTTCGCTTTCACCTGATGACCCATCTGTGATCCAAGCTACACTTCAAAATAATAGACCAGGTGATCGATGGATGCCCAGATGGAAAGTCTTCAAAAGATAACCGTGAAGCAACAAAATTGCACGCATGAACTCACACAACTAGCTAACTAGCCAATGATGAAAGCTAAGTTATACGGAGATCGATGGATCATAAGCTTGCGCGGGCAGGGGCAGCCTGGCCTGCTCCACCTCCACCTCCAGCAGGGGCCAGCGAGCTGCCGCCGGCGCGGTACCACGCCAGCGCCGATCGGGCATCGTCAGCTTTGGCGGCCTCCCTCTGCATGGCTGCCACGAACGCCTCCTCCCCAGGCCAGGCCGCGAACTCCGCCGCTCCGCGGCTGAGACTCGCGGCGACGCTGGCCATCCACTCCTCCATGTGCACGGCGAAGACCTCCATCCGGGCGGCCACGGCCAGCTCCTCGTGCGTCAGGATGTAGCTGTCACTAGTAGAGAACAGATCTTTGATCCTCGGCCAAAATAGGCTCTAGTCCTGGAATTTTTTGCGCCCGAGACTAGAGATACCTTTAGTCCCGGTTGGTGGCTTCAACCGGGACTAAAGGTCTCTGTTTTAATAGCTCTACTGCGCCCGAGCAGGTAGGTGGCGGGGACCTTTAGTCCCGGTTGGAGCCACCAACCGGGACTAAAGGTAGACTTTTACTCCCGGTTGGTGGCTCCAACCGGGAGTAAAGGTCCTCGCCACTCTGTCTGCAAGCGCAAAGAGTTGTTGGCAGGACCTTTAGTCCCGGTTGGATCCATCAACCGGGACTAAAGGTCCCTCTTTATATCCCGACCGTCTCCTTCTTCCTCCCGAGCCCGAGCTCAGCACATTTTGAAGCTCACTACACTAGTGTTCTTGCTTCCTCCCTCCATTGTTCCTCCATCCATTCTTCGATTCCTCCATTGATTCTTCAGTTGTAAAGGTTACCAATCTCATACTCTCATTTTTCACCATTGTCTTATCTCATTTTGTTCACTATATATATGGTTCTTTATTGTGGTTTTTTTCATTTGTAAGCAATTTGAGCTCAAAATCACTTCAAGCTTGCATATTTACATGAACGAATGTTAAAGTAGCTAGTTGAACTTGCGGACCATGTTCATCTCGACGAGCATGTTCTCTGCCGAGTGGTAACGGACGTCAAGGAGGAGCTTTGATTCTACGAGGGAGAGCGGCAACGGTCGTGGAAGACCGTGTTCCCTTCCTCGTAGATTTGATTCTACGAGGGAGAGCGGCAACGGTCGTGGAAGACCGTGTTTCCTTCCTCGTAGAATCGGAGCTCTTCCATGGCCAAGTACGGTGCCGTCCGGTGGAGAAATGCTCGCCGAGATGATCACGTAAGCAAGGTCAACTAGTACGGATGGTTATTTATTTACACGTCCCGATATCGTCGCAGTAGTCTGTCAATCACCGTACCCAAACATAGTATATATATAAATATAAACGATAATCGATTGTTATGTGTGTACACTCCCATTCTTCTATTAATTTGCGGAAATATCATGTGAAATACTTACCTGCCGCAGTAAAAGACGAGAACATAATGACCATGGACACGGCCATGAAAAATGCCAACGACACAACACTAGCAACTTTCTCGGCAAGCAGAGTAGTGTTAAACGCTCTGGAAACCTTTAAACTTCAAGCTTGCATATTTACATGAAGGAAGGTTAAAGTAGCTATTAAAAACTAGTATTCACCGTTCATTTGTAGCATGCATAGCACACTTCATTGTTTAGATATATATAGAATTTTAGAGTTTTTTTTTAATTTTATTTGTCTATAAAATGAGAAATTTATAGTGTATTAAAAAATGAGTATAGAGAGTAGATGGTAACTGCTTCCGGGTCCTCGGCCTCTCATGGGTTTCCAAAGCGACTTAGGTCGGGCCTCCCACTCATTGCATGCGACAAGTGTTGTGATGAGACGAAGATTGTGATGGAGTACCGAGTGAAGAAGGAGGGTCCCAACAAGGGTCGCATTTTCTACAAGTATCCGGATCGCAATGTGAGTTATTTTATCGTATTTAATGACTATGGTTAGTTTATACCTATTTTCATGATGGTTGTGATTAAAGTTCTAATTTTCTGTTTTTAATTTCAAAGGGGATGGCAATTTGGATGTTCGAGCTTCTCTTTGGGAGGAAGAGTATGTTGAACTCGTGCAAAAATATCTTGCACTGTGAGCGATATGGCGGCTAATGAGGCGATGATCCAAACAAGAAGCACAAAGATGTTGAACAAACGGGAGATCTATCTGTTTTAGTTGGGATTGGTCGCGAAATCCTTGTGCTGCTGAAGTGCATTTTAGCTTTAGTGTTTTTAGTGGTAGTTGGGATTGTCTACATTGCAGCGAGGATTTCTTAAATTTATAGCTTTTGTGGTGGTATGCATGTTGTATAATTAACTAATTATGTTCTAGGTTTTAATACGGTATTTATGTCATGTAATGCAGATGAGTCGGCATTGGATGTACAATGCTGATCGTCGCTCCCAAGAGTTCATGGACGACGTGCATTCTACGAGGGAGAGCGGCAACGGTCGTGGAAGACCGTGTTCCCTTCCTCGTAGATTTGATTCTACGAGGGAGAGCGGCAACGGTCGTGGAAGACCGTGTTCCCTTCCTCGTAGAATCGGAGCTCTTCCGTGGCCAAGTACGGTGCCGTCCGGTGGAGAAATGCTCGCCGAGATGATCACGTAAGCAAGGTCAACTAGTACGGATGGTTATTTATTTACACGTCCTGATATCGTCGCAGTAGTCTATCAATCACCGTACCCAAACGTAGTATATATATAAATATAAACGATAATCGATTGTTATGTGTGTACACTCCCATTCTTCTGTTAATTTGCGGAAATATCATGTGAAATACTTACCTGCCGCAGTAAAAGACGAGAACATAATGACCATGGACATGGCCATGAAAAATGCCAACGACACAACACTAGCAACTTTCTCGGCAAGTAGAGTAGTGTTAAACGCTCTGGAAACCTTTAAACTTCAAGCTTGCATATTTACATGAAGGAAGGTTAAAGTAGCTATTAAAAACTAGTATTCACCGTTCATTTGTAGCATGCATAGCACACTTCATTGTTTAGAGATATATAGAATTTTAGAGTTTTTTTAATTTTATTTGTCTATAAAATGAGAAATTTATAGTGTATTAAAAAATGAGTATAGAGAGTAGATGGCAACTGCTTCCGGGTCCTCGGCCTCTCATGGGTTTCCAAAGCGACTTAGGCCGGGCCTCCCACTCATTTCATGCGACAAGTGTTGTGATGAGACGAAGATTGTGATGGAGTACCGAGTGAAGAAGGAGGGTCCCAACAAGGGTCGCATTTTCTACAAGTGTCCGGATCGCAATGTGAGTTATTTTATCGTATTTAATGACTATGGTTAGTTTATACCTATTTTCATGATGGTTGTGATTAAAGTTCTAATTTTCTATTTTAATTTCAGTGGGATGGCACTGGATGTTCAGGCTTCTACTGGGAGGAAGAGTATGTTGAACTCGTGCAAAAATATCTTGCACAACAGGCAGATATGGCGGCTAATGAGGCAGTGATCCAGCCGAAGAAGCACAAAGATGTTGAACAAACAGAAGATCTGTCTGTTTTAGTTGGGATTGGTCGCGAAATCCTTGTGCTGCTGAAGTGCATTTTAGCTTTAGTGTTTTTAGTGGTAGTTGGGATTGTCTACATTGCAGCAAGGATTTCTTAAATTTATAGCTTTTGTGGTGGTATGCATGTTGTATAATTAACTAATTATATTCTAGGTTTTAATACGGTATTTATGTCATGTAATGCAGATGAGTCGGCATTGGATGTACAATGCTGATCGTCGCTCCCAAGAGTTCATGGACGGCGTGCATTCTTTGTTACATGTGGCCGAGGCAAACAAACGCGATGGTTTCATGTGCTGCCCATGTGCCGTATGTAAGAATACGGTGGAATATCCTTGCTCAAGGACTCTTCATTCACACTTGTTTAAGTCGGGTTTCATGCCAAACTATATTTGTTGGACGAAGCACGGAGAAACCGGCGTTGTAATGGAAGAAGGTGAAGAAGAACAATGGGACGACAATGATATTATTCCCGATGGTGCATGCTTGAATGATACTGCAATAGGAGAAGCTGAAGAAGAGGTAGCCGCAGAAGATGAGTCTGCTGATGATCTTTGTCAGGTCATTCGTGATGCACAAAGAGAATGTGAAAGTGAAAAGGAGATGATCAAGTTCGAGCGGATGCTTGAAGATCACAAGAAATTATTGTACCCAACTTGTGATGCAGGGCAGAAAAAATTGGGAACCACACTAGAATTGCTGCAATGGAAGACAAAGAATGGTGTATCTGACAAGGGATTTGGAGAGTTACTAAAAATCCAAAAGAAGATGCTTCCGAAGGACAATGAATTGCCCGCCACTACCTACGAAGCAAAACAAGTTGTCTGTCCTATGGGGCTAGAAATCGAGAAGATACATGCATATCCTAATGACTGCATCCTCTACCGTGGCAAAGAGTACGAGAAATTGGATGCATGCCCGGTATGCCATTCATCGCGGTATAAGATCAGGCGAGATGACCCTGGTGATGTTGAGGGCGAACGTCCGTGGAAGAAAATCCCTGCCAAGGTTATGTGGTATGCTCCTATAATACCACGCTTGAAACATCTGTTCAGAAACAAAGAACATGCAAAATTGTTGCAATGGCACAAAGAAGACCGTAAGGTAGACAATATGTTGAGACACCCTGCTGATGGGTCCCAGTGGAGAGCAATCGACAGAGAATTCCCAGAGTTTGCAAATGACGCAAGAAACTTAAGGTTTGCTTTAAGTACAGATGGTATCAATCCTTTTAGAGAGCAGAACAGTAGTCATAGCACTTGGCCTGTTACTCTAAGTATCTACAACCTTCCTCCTTGGTTATGCATGAAACGGAAGTTCATTATCATGCCTGTGCTCATCCAAGGCCAGAAGCAACCTGGCAATGACATCGATGTGTACCTGAGACCACTTATTGATGAACTTCTCATTTTGTGGAATAAAGAAGGTGTACGTGTGTGGGATGAGTACAAACAGGAACACTTTGATCTGGGAGCATTGTTGTTCGTAACAATCAATGATTGGCCTGCTCTAAGTAATCTTTTAGGACAGTCAAACAAGGGATATAATGCATGCACACACTGCTTCGGTGATATTAGAAGTGTATTCTTGAAAAAATATCGAAAGGTCGTGTACCTTGGCCATCGTCAATTTCTTCCTGCAAATCACCCCGTAAGAAAGAAAGGCAAGCATTTTAAAGGGAAGGCAGACCACCTAACCAAGCCTCGTAACCGAATCGGTGAGGATGTACTCAATATGGTCAATGATGTGAAAGTCGTCTTTAGAAAAGGACATGGCA